GCTTCTTATTAGCTAGTCTATTGCTATCTCCTGCAGTGAGCCAGGGTGACATTATATAGATTGTGATGACAACAATTGGCTTTGGACTACTAGAAATTTGTTGAAATAAAGCAGTAAGATTTGTGTTGCACCTTTGGCATATTCATTTATTGGTTTGCCTGTTTACAATGATGATACTTTTGGCATTCTCTCTCAGTTTTTGCAAGGTCTGCATTTTGTCTATGTTAGTCTTTAGAAGTTTACTTTCTAACTTTCTTTTGACTTGAATAGTGACAAATATCATGTGGAAAAAATGAACATCAAATTTCGTACTTAAATCAATCCTTCAAATATCATTGGTTCACCTTATCACTAGAGATGCTTATGAATCTGAATCTGGCTGAGAAAGGCAGTTTGAAATTGATGTTTGCTGCAGTTTACCTGATGTCTCTTGGAAATGGAAATAATGTTGAAGCTTCTACTGCTTCACCAGAATGTTGATAATGGAATCGATAACTGTTTGAGAGGGAATGTCATAAATCGGACTAGGGAAGTTTCAAACTGGGTTCGTAAAAATGGGAAACTCAAATGTTAATTGTGAGATAATAATTTCACTTGATTTCTCCGCAGCTGTAGAACTCAAATGTGGGGATCTTAGTTACTTGTCCAAGCATCATTGCAAGGTATTGGATTTATCAGTCTAACTCCTTAATTTAGTTGGCTTACTACTTACTAGTCATATGACTTTTTTTACTTGTGTGTTATGATGTACTCATTAGTTTACCAGTATTAATTTAGTGAACATTGAAAATCCTTACTCTAGTAAAATGAGTTTTTTACTATGTTTTAGCAGGACGAGAAAGACTAGAAGATTTCGGAGCTGATGAATATTGCAGCCACTGAGGTGCAGCCACTGAGGAATATCTTGTAGAAGCCTAGACTAAAGATGCATAGAACTTTAGATGATATGGTTAGATTGATTTTCATTATCGCAGAGTTTCATGCTACAATAATTAGCCTTTACAATTATGTAAATTAGCATTGATCAATAAATGGCGTTTGAACAAGTTGGGTTGACAATAATATTAGAATGTCATGCTACAAGAGTTACTATATTTAGTTATAGATACGTGAATAGCCGTTTGTAACTAGCTACCAAAATATGCGGTGACTAGTGGTTTGTACATATTTAATCACGGGAGAACTAGTCAAATACCGTGACAAGTGATGGACATCTAGTTAAGGGAAATGATTTTGTCATGGTTAATACTGTCTTTAAAGCAGCATATCCCGTCTTAAAATGTTTCCTATCTTGCATATGTGCTACAAAATTTGATATTAGACATGGTTTATCCCGTGATTAATAAGTACGGATAATCACGGGAACCTTCACCGTGACTAGTTAACTAGTCACGGTACTACAATTAGTCACGGTATACAATTAGTCACAGAGGTTTATATTACGGTAAATTTCCCGTGACCAAATTTATTAATCACGGGAAACATGCTTTTAAACACGGGATATCCGGTGATTAAATGACCTTTTTCTTGTAGTGAATCTACCACCCTCATTTGATTGTAGAGATAACGATCCTTATCCAGTTGAGCGCTTTTATTGTGGTATCTTGATTATCAATTTTAAAGAGGTATTCCTGTGCAAATAGGATCAAGGGTTAATTATGCCATTAATGGTATAGAATGGACTGTATTACGGTTATTTTTATTCTAGAGCTTTTTTTCTTTCTTAAATTCTGATTGTTTTCCCTAGTATGGAGGTCTAATAAACTACGCCGAGAAGCAGCTCTTTGTATGTATATATATTTTTTTTCATCCGACTTTAGTCGAATCTTCAAACAAACGTAACTTTGTGCTCCGGTATCCGATCGTAGGGAGATATTTTTTGATTCCGCATAACTTTTCGAGATCTTGCAAGCCGCAAACTGCCGTAGGCGGTTTGATCTCGCCTTCTTCTGGAAAAAATGTCGTTTGCTACCCCAAATGAGCTTATTTCCGACATTACAAAAAAGTTACTCTTCTGTGAAAAAATATTCTGTGATGGGTCAAATTTCGTCACATAATGTACATTTTGTGTGACGAAATTTACTGCTTGTCAAAAAAAGCTTAAATTTTTTGTCAGACCTAGCAAAAAACTATTCGCGACGAAATAAATCTTTCCTGTGATGCAGTCCAACGTCACCTTTAGTTCATTGTTTTATGTGGCGCAGTTTATCTTTACATATGTTAAATGTCGTTTTGGTGACAATGTAAGTAGTGACATAAAATATTATTTTTTGGAAAAGATATTTATTCTATTAGAACATTAGTGATGACCCCTCCCCTCTGTCTCTCTCTCATCTAATCGCTCTCGCGTAGAAAAAAAATGCAATCCAATTCCAGAAGAAAGAAAAATGGCGTTATCCTTCTCCCAGGAAGATCCAATACTTTGAGTCACCGAGCAGTGTTGGGGTCGATGGTGTGAGGAAGGCAGCCAGCAGTTCCCCAAAGCTAGCGCTCTAATCAGATCTCATCTACCTTTCTTCACTCTCGCTTTCTCTATAAAAGATCCAAAATCCCTAGATCCATTGCTCCAAACTAATCCTATAAATCCCCAAATCTCTAGCATTAATCGATCTCGTAGGATTCGAGCAATCCAAGAAGGCTAGTAGCATCGATTAGCCCAGATTAATATCCTCAAAGTTCATGGTTGTTTCCCTTCTTTCGAGAGTACGATCTCGATATCCGCCTTTTCAGATTGGGGTGTAGAGGCGATGGTAGAACAATTTCGTCCATTCGATTTGACCTAATTCATGACAATTGACAAGTATCTTCTATTTCGTGTATTAGAGGTGGAGAGTTGCTTGGCTCTCAATTGGTCGTTCCTTGTGATTCTTCATGTTTCCATTTGATGGATTGTGCTCTGTTATCCATATTGAAGTCAGTAAACTTGTGGAAGGAAGGTGGCTGGATAATGAGGAGTTCATTATTTGGATGAAATGATATTCAATTCCGCGATTGGAGGCCCTATTAAATCGAAATATTAAACAAACGTAACTTTGTGCTCAGGTATCCGATCGTAGCGATTTTTTTTTATTCCAACATAACTTTTCGAGATCTTGCAAGCCGCAAACTGCCACAGGCGGTCTGGTCCTGCCTTCGTCCCGATAAAACGACGTTAGCTACCCCGAACGAGCTTTTATCCGATTTCGCCAAACTTTGGACGACTATAACTTTGTTCTCCGCAATCCGAATGTCATGATTTTTTTTTTGATTTCGTCTAAATTTTCAAGGAATACAATTTTTATCATATTCATAATTTCTGAATGTACTTGGATTTGTGAAAAGTGAAGGTAAAGCTATTCCCAAAATCCCGTATATCCAGAAATAATTCCTGTTTTGAAAATTCCTTCCATGTAAAAGTTGTAGTCCTTCTAAAGTTACGCGAAATTAAAAAAAAATTCATGACGTTCGAAGTGCGGAGCCTAAAGTTATAGTCGTCCAAAGTTTGACGAAATCGATCAGAAAAAAGCTCGTTCGGGGAAACAAACGACGTTTTTCTAGGACAAAAGCGGGACCAAACCGCCTGCAGAAGTTTCGCCATGCAAGATCTCGGAAAGTTAAGCGGAATAAAAAACACGCTACGATCGGGTACGCGAGCACAAATTTATGTTTGTTTGATGTTTCGACATAAGATTGGATTGAAATAAAATATCCATACAAACTGTTGCATAGGGGGTGGGGGTGGGGGGGTTTGCACATGAACCGCTGCTTCCCGACGTAGTTTAGTGAAGTGGTGATAACTGGACCAATTGGTAAATGATTTCATAGAAACGATTAAGACCGATTCTGATTATCAAACAGACATAAGATTTCCACATGTGATTATTGTACATTTAATTATTGCTTTCCATATCTTTCTTACCAAACCCTAACAAATCCTTTAGGAATCTCTTTGTCTCTGGTTCTTCCTTCACTAGTCGCCTCACAATGATGCCTTCTTATTGGATCATAATTGCATAGCTCAATCAAAGGAATAAAATTCCTTGTTTGAGAACACAAGAACAAGGTATTCCAAAGAGCTTGGGTAAGCTTGTTTGAATGGGGTTTCGATGGAAACGAAAGGGAACTCTTACACCAGGAAGAGTGCTCGATCGTTATGAGGTCTCCTTCGATGTAATCGAGGGGGTTTGCTCGATTAATAGGCCAATATTCAGCAAGCTTAATTTGATCGCAACCAAAACAAGACAACTTCACAACTCAAAACGTTGGGAATTTTGGGGTTATCTTCATAAATCAACTCTGAACTTCACAATACATGAATGAGGGCTTTTAAATGCATAAACAAGCTTAAACAAACCTAAACACTAATGGAAACTAAACTAATTCAGCAAGGAAACTAAATTATACTAGTAATCCGAATCCAACTCGGAATCCTAATGTCATGCGGATTTCTGGCAGCTCGAGAGAACATCTTTGAGTGCCTCGAAAATTATCTTCCCAGGCCATTCGTCTTCATCCAATTCCTGCCCTTGGTTTAGTAAGTACTCTTCTTTCCATGGCAACTCGAATTAGTCTCTGCTTGTGTCCCAAACTCCAGCTATTAAGTTCCAAAGTTGGCACCTTGATCTCGCTATTTGCCTTAGCCAAAAATGGCAGATTCTCGGTTTTAATTTGGCAACTTGGAGAGCTTCAATCATGGTTTTCCATACTTCAATTGGAACTTATAAGCCTTCCATCTTGCACAGGTTTACTCCATCTTCAAAAACAAGCCATCAAACTCAAATTTTCATTGAATGAATTGATCGAACCAAGCCTCCAAAGTTGGTAACATGAAACACATAAAAGACTCGACCAAAATTCAGATTCTTTCTGCCTTGTGAAACTAACTTCTTGATCAATCCATGAAAGCTCAAAGGTTAAGCAATTTGGGATCATATCAATTAGGATCAAATATTAACATATAAGTCCTTTACATGTCACCGTCCCTCGCCGACGTTCAAGACAAACTCGGACAGTCCCTCGCCATGGATCTCGGCCCGCCGGAGATCGTCTCCTTTGTCCACGGCAACGTTACAAGTGATTCTGACCTTGAGAATGCCGTTGATACAGCGGTGTCAAGGTACGGCCAGCTAGACATCATGTACAACAACGCTGGAATCGGAGGTAACCTCGACACCACCATCTTAAACTCGGACAACGCCGACTTCAAGAAGGTGCTTGAAATCAACCTCTTCGGATCCTTCCTCGGAGCCAAACACGCCGCCAGGGTTATGATTCCCGCAAGGAAAGGTTGCATCTTGTTCACCGGCAGCGTTGCCGCTTCTATAAGTGGCGACTTGTCTTACGCATACAAGGCTTCCAAGCATGCTATTTTGGGGCTCAACAACAACTTGACCGTGGAGCTGGGCAAGTACGGCATCAGGGTCAACACCATTTCTCCCTATGGAGTGGCCACTCCCATGGTCACAAGCGGCATGCAAATGGACAAGAAGGCTGCTGAGGAATTCATGTCCGCCGCTGGAAACTTGAGAGGGGCTATCCTCGAACCCGAGGATGTTGCTCGGGCTGCCTTATACTTGGCCAGTGACGATGCAAAATACGTGAGCGGATTGAATTTGATAGTTGATGGAGGCCACAATCACAACCATCCGCTTTTTGGTGCAACAGATCCGCTTGCCAACTGATTACCTCTTCCCTTCCCTTCCCTGATGCACAAATATTCATTTATTTATTGTCTTAAATTTCCTATTATGTACGTAATCAGCCTAGTACCCTCTCATAAACATTGTTTCATTTGTATATTATTAAAATGACTTATCCAATTTTTATAATTTCATTGGTTATATGCTATTGTTTCATTTCGGATCCTTAAAATGATAACTAGTTAATATCCCACTACTACCAATTTACAAATTTCATAAGTCATTTTCCCAAATTCAATCCTTTAATTTCGTATTCTGTGATGGGTCAAATTTCGTCACATAATGTACATTTTGTGTGACGAAATTTACTGTTTGTCACAAAAAGCTTAAATTTTTTGTCAGACCTAGCAAAAAACTATTCGCGACGAAATAAATCTTTCCTGTGATGCAGTCCAACGTCACCTTTAGTTCATTGTTTTATGTGGCGCAGTTTATCTTTACATATGTTAAATGTCGTTTTGGTGACTGTTTGTGCCACCTCACTTGATCTCGACCCTTTCGTACTCACTCGGGGCGCCCGGATCCTGCAAGGACAAGCGCCTAAAGGGCTTGGGAATGCCCGTTAGCACTCCGACGCCCAAGTCAGAACCAAGTCTAGAGAGAGAAGTATAAAGTCTGGTTTTAGTCCGAGAAGCCAACCTGCATAAATGCTATCGACTGCCCCTATTTGTACTCACCGAACCCGAGGTTGATCTCCGCCACGTCACCATCCTCATTTAATGCTCTGTGCCCCTCTGTGAGACAGCTAACCGCCCTGTCAGGCTCCTGACACCTGACAGGCAGCCCACAGCTCTGCCAGGCTCCTGACACATGACAGGCGCCCGCACGCAGTGGTCCGCCAGCCAGTTAACCGCCACCTGGCTTTTGGTGCTTCATTCTTAAGATCTCTTCTCTTGTTTGGGCCCAAGGGCCACTAGTGGATATTGACTCCTATCTTTTGGGCCTTTCCCCCCAACTCCTTCTTTGGGAGCCCAAACTCCTAGCTTGCTGGGTAATACCCCCAACAATTGCCCCCCCAGTTAGGTGCTCGTGGCTTCGCCTTCGAGCGCCTGACTGAACCTCTAGTTGTAATTCGGCCCTCTCTTAGTCACAGGGCGCTTGTCACACGGCACGTGCATCGTGTTTTCACTTCCTTCTTGGTCCTACGGGGTGCGCTTGCCCCTCCCCTTCCGCGGGCGGGCGTCCCGCCTTTGGTGTTGTTTGGGCCACTTGTCGTATGCTCTTCCATGTGCTTCTGTGCCTCTTGCCTGATGAGGCGCCCCTTGCCAAATGGGGCGCCTTTTCGAACCATCCCTCCCTTTCGGGGGTTGGATCTTCGCCTGGGCTCACCGCTTCGCGTGTTTCTTCGCCTGGGCTCACCGCTTCGCGTGTTCTCTTTCCGCGATCTTTTTTATAGGAGTCCTCTCATGGTGTCGTTCTTGACGTGTGTCCTTATCCCTTATGCCCCCCTCACCCACGCTTTGCTTGCCGGGGAAATTTGGAGAAAAGAAAATTCGAAATTCGAAATTTGGGAAATTCGAAATTCAAAATTTGGGAGTTGAGAAATTTCCCCAATAAGGAAAGGGTGGGGGGAAGCTCAAGGGTCCGCCTGGGGTCTTGTGGCTCGCGAAAAGACCAAAAGGTGGGGGGAGCGGAAGGGTTCCTTCGGCATGACTGACACGTGTCATGCGATGGGTGGGTCTTCTTTTTTCTATAAATACCCCTCCTCCCTTGTGATGCTGTCACTTTCTTCCATTTGACCTCTCTCTCGACTTTTGCTCTGACTTCTCTCTAGCTTCCGCTCTGGCCTCTGTCCTCCTTCCTGTCAGTTCTTCACTTCCGACACAATGCTTTCGTCCAGAATGTCTTCTCCACAACAAGACAAGACCTCTGGCGCAGACGCCTCGGGCGCAGGCGCCTCTGGCGATGATGGTGAAACAAGGCGCCCAGTTCAACGTGGTAAGTGGTCCTTTTCCCTTCGTCGATTTCGTTGAGTTTATTCTAGTCACCTAGGGTAGGGGCGTCACTTACCCCTTGTCCGCGTTGCGTCTGGGTCGTTTGTTGGTTTAGAGCGGGCGTCTGCTTCCTCATCAGCTGGGCCGTCAAGTTCTTAGGCGCCTGGCTTTTTGCCCGCCGACGGGTCCTACAAGATCACCTCGTGGGAGAAGTGTTTCCCACCCGATCATCTGCCCACCGAGACGTCTCACTTATCGTTCGAGGTGGCCGGGCCAAAGCACACGTCAACAGTTACTTTGGACCGGGTTCATGAATTGGTGACCAGTCTCCAGCTTCCCAGGGACTGGTGGTATGCGCCTCCATCGCCTCTGTCCCGGGTAGGCGTCTGTGGCCCGAAGTGGATCGGGATTTATCAAGAATACTTCCGCTTTGGGCTACAATTTCCTTTAGACTCGATTATGGAGGGGATCCTGACGACCTGCGCCTGCCCCCTCGGGCGCCTATCTCCCTCAGTCATCACGGTCGTCATCCTGTTCAAATTGAGATGCCGAGAGCACAACGTGGAGCCCACCTTCAACTTGTTCAGATATTTCTTCAAGATGGTGCCTCTCGACAACTGTTTGTCCCTCCAGAAACGCAAGAAGAAAAGCTGTCCCTATCATTTTGTGAAGAAATGTCCCAAGTTGAACCGAAGCTGGTTCAACGGGTTTTTCTTCGTGAAGGCCTATCGAGACTCCTTCTTTGCGAGTGGAGGCGCCTTTGTGAGAAAATGGGAGTTGGGTCAGTTCGAGGATTTTAACAAACCGGTGGTTTTGACGGCGTCTGAGAAGGCCGGCGCCCCCTTAATTTGCGAAGGGGAGCCCGTTGACTTACGCCCCGCAGATAACCGTCCGCCTATTATTCAGGCTTACTATAACGATGGTGTGTAGGCGTCTAGGTGTTTTGTTTCCTCTTATTCCATTGTTTGTGTTATGGCCTAACCTTTCCTCGTCATGCGCAGGGGCGGATTACTCGAGTATCGCCAAGCTGATGAAGAGTCGGCTGGCGACTATGGCGGCAGAGGCGGCCGCGGCAGCGGCCTCATCACAAGAGGCGCCTGCTCATCAAGAGGCGCCTGCCACCCAATCACGGGCGCCAACGGCTGGCCCCCAGAAAAAGAAGAAGAGGGCGGTGAAGGGTGGCACCGCTCGGGCGCACACGGCGAGCGTGGCGTCGTCCGCACCGGAGGAAGGCGAGGGGGCGCCTAATTTCGACCCCGCGGAGAAGGAAGTCAACTCCGCGGAAGAAGAAGAAGAAGAAGAGGAGCCTTTGCTCCGAAAGGGGAAGAGGGCGGGTTCCCCCTTAGCCTCGGCCAGCAAGAGGGCCGACAGGGGAAAGAAGAAGGTGGGGGAGGAGGACGCCTGCGACGAGGTGGAAGTGGAGGAGGAGGCGGTGGAGGGCGCCCGTGTTCACCTAAATGAAGAGGGGCGCTATGTTGGCCCCGATGGGCGTCCACCCATCTTCCGGCCACGGCGTGCCGAGGTGGGACGGGTCAATATGAACTGCTCCCCCTTGGTCGCCGTTGACCGAGGGTGCGCAATGGGCTTGGCGATCGCGGCCGCCAAGTCATGGCAGGTGCCGTCTGAGGTGAACGGGGATCACCTCTTTGCTGAGTTGGCCCAAGTGGGCGCCAAGGTATGCACTTTCTTACTTGCGTTCTTCAGAAGTTAGGGGAATGGTTTGGTATTTTGCACGACTTGCTGAACTTTTTCTAATGGTTCCAGATCCTTCTTTTTGCTGAAAGAGGCGCCCGACGCCTCAACGAGACTAAACGGGAGGCGCTCGAGGCTTCCTCTTCAGCTGCACAGCTGAAGTTGGACTTGGATAACGCAACTGCACGCCGTGAGCAGTTTGCGAAAGAGTGAGAGGACGCCCAGATGACGGCGACCATGGAGGTGTCGCGTTTGCAGGGCACCCTGGACGAGGAGCGCAGGAAGGTGGCCGACCTTCAAGCTGAGAAGGAGGCGTTGGCGCAGGAAGCCGGTGCCCAGGCCAGTGAGATTGACATCCTCAAGGAGGAGAAGAAGAGGCTGCATGACGCCCACAAGGAGAGCGAGAAATCCTTGAAGAGGGCCCGGAAAGAAATTTCCAGATTGCGGCAATCTTTGGACAACTTGATGGAGTCAGAGACTGGGAAGTCCATGTGCGCCAATGCCATTCTGACCGGCATTGAAATCCTGCGAGTGAAGTTGCAGAAGGACCACCCCGACCTTACTTGGGATCTCTCAGAGATGGCTGAGTATGTGATTGGCGGGATGGAGACGCCTCGCGGGACAAGTGGGGCGCCCGAGCCATCTTCTCCTACCTCTCCTTCTCCAAAGGCGCCTAGTTCTGGGGACGCGAATTCGGGCGCCGACTAGATTAGTGGTCCTCGGGTTTTAACTTTCTTTTTTGTAGTGACTTTCCTATTTTTTGTGCTTTTATAATATGAGAATTTATGTTTCCTTGCCTATCGCCTTCACTTCCACTTTAACTTTCCTTTTATTGCCAACTTGTGTTTTTGGGCGCGAAATGGGGCGCGTTTCTTGTGAGGGCGCAATGTTAGGGCGCTTTTGGAAAAGGTGGGCGCGGAACATGGCGCTTTACGTAGTGTTGCCGGGCGCTATTTTGGGGCGCTTTGTTATGTTTCCTTAACGGACAACTTTGTAGATAGTAATTAATCCGCTTCTGAAAAATGATGGCGCAAAATTTGGGCGCTTTACATGGACCGGGCGCTAATGGGGCGCTTTACAAAATTACAGGCGCGTATAGGGCGCTTTTGGAAACTCTACTATAATTACCTAACCAAAACAAGTCCTCCCCAAGAACACCCTGCCCGTTGCCTCTACTCGCGAGAAGGCGTCTGCACTTGGGCGCCTGTATCCATGGTTGCCTCATACCTTCGTAGGTTTTGGGAATTCCAAGTTCTCTTCACTCCCTTGCCTGACATGTGCTCCAGCTTGAAAGTACCCGGGCCAACGACTTCCCGAACACGATATGGCCCTTTCCATTTGGGTGCCAATTTTCCC